GAGGAAGGAAATACACATACAAAATGAAAAACATCTTGTTCTTTTGCTGCTGATGTTCCCGTTGAAGCTCTTCAATAAATGTAGGCAAGATGCACTGGCATTTGAAATATGTATTCCTAGTTTAGTATCCAACCTTGGAGAAAATTCAACATGGTTTAAAAGTTCTCTTTTCTAAATAAACCAGAGGGGTTTAATTCTGCACTTCTGGATCCCAGGAAAGTTTGGTTGATGGTACTATGTGGCCTATAGATAAAACAAATGATTTCATATTGATATTTGACTTCATCCCTTAACTCCACAAAATCATTCTCAATTCCTGGTGGGAAAACGAGTGATGTTTGAGCTCTCTTTTTCTCCTGCAAGTAGCATAATCCCTTTTTTTGTTTAGTCACTGATTAACAAATGATTAAAAATAAATGCATTAAACATTTGGGTGTCATGCTTCCAAAAAATAATCTTCACTTATCTTTTATGCTGAGCAAATCCATTTGCAGATGATAATCTCTCTCTCTCTCTCTCTCTCTCTCTCTCTCTCTCTCTCTCTCTCCCTCACACACACACACACACACACATTATGAAAATGTGAAGAATGCAAGACTAATTATTCTTTTATTTTCTAAGATATTAGACTCTCAATACCTCAAATAAATATCTTTTTGGATACTTGTTTGTAGACTTATCCTCTTTTAAAAAATTATAAATTTTTTAGTTGTACTTGGACACAATATTTATTTATTTTGGTGTGGTACTGAGGATCGAACTCATGGTCTCACACGTGCTATGCGAGCATTCTACCACTGAGCCACAACCCCAGCCCCAACTTATCCTCTTTTTAGTTATTATTTTTAAATTCTCTTTTCTCTAGGAAGGGAAAAATTCTGGGGGAAGTTAATATTTATAAGAAAACTTATAACTGACCACTTTATGAGGAAACAAATGAAAGCAAAAGAGTTGCTTTTAAAGTCAACAATTTATAGAGGGATCTATTACAAATTAGTTGCTTTTACTTTTTGGTGAGAGAGACAGAAAACAGTTTGATAAATGAATTATATTTGGAGTTGTCTTTGTTTTTTAAAGTTTGTCAATGGCTGTCCCCAATGTGCAGAATTTTCTGTTTTCTTGGGCCTCAGTATTCTTCTATTTTCTTTGGTTTTGATTTTCTTTCTTACATGAATTTCTTGTGAAAAATACACAAATGATTTGCTTTCAGTCTTTTCTTTTAGTCTGTGTCCTTTTAGGTCTATACCTTTTTCTTTGAACCTGACTTTAACTGCATGCCACAGGTTTTGGTATGGTATTTTTATTTTCATTTAGTTAAAAAATTTCCTATGCCTATTGTGATTTCTTTCATGGTTATTCAACATCAGAGTTATTTAGAAGTCAGGTTATTTACTGGTCAAAGAACATATTTGATTTTAGTTTTCTGTAAGCAATTGATAATTGCTTTGCCGTCCAACATATGGTTGATTTCAGCAGTTATTCCACATGTCTTTGAAAAAGAGGATGTACTTGGCAATTTTGAGGTGTATTTTTTATAAGTCAAGGTCAAGTTTGTAAATTATGTTATTTAACTCTTCTTATTTCTTATTAGTATAATTATTTACTTTTTTGTTAATCTTGTTCTATCAATTATTGATAAGCTATATTAAAATCAGCTTCCACTGTGATTGTGGACTGTTTCTCTCTATAGTTCTGCCAATTTCTGCTTATCTGGTTTGAAGCTATGCTCTTATAAATATTAGATTTAGAATCATTATATTATTTTGGTGTAGTAATTCTTTCTATCACTATGAAGAACCCATTTTTATATATGATAAGGCTTCATACTGTGTTATATTTATATAAATTTTCTCTTAGCTAGTTTGCATATCATATATTTTATCCTCTCAATTTCAACCTTCCTATATTATATGTAAAATATGTCTCTTGTAAGCACCATATTGTTGGATTTTTAAAAATATATTTGGTGGGCTTTAAGTCATTGCTATTATTATCCTACTAAAGCCTAAAGTAACTCTTCAAGTGGATTTGTAAGCCCTTTTGATATGACCCTTTTCTTAGCAGTTTCCTTGTTGGTCTGCTATGACAAAATGTTCCAGTCTTGATTTATGCAATTAGAAAACACTTGCATATACTAGTAGAACCATCTCATAATTAATTTGCCTTGTACCCATCATATAACAATGGTTTCAGAATAAGATTACCATAATATAATAAAAATTCAACTTTGGCATATAAAAAAAAGTTGCCAATCTGGTGATCTCTGTATCTTATAGAATATTTTGTCCTTTTACATTTAATTCAGTGATTATTTGGGGTTAAATCTAATATTTATTTCAGCAGTTCTTTATTTCTTTAATTTGTTGCCATTTATCCACATATTTTCTTTTTCTATTGCTTTTCATTTCTTTCTGCACAGAACGTGCTACCATTTGGGATCATTTTTTCTCTAATTCATTTAATAATTCCTTTAATACAAGCTTAATGGCAACCAATTCTCTCAACTTTTGTTAAGTATTATTCTTTACAGTTTTTTAAAAAAATATTAATTTTTTAATTCTCGGCGGACACAACATCTTTCTTTGTATGTGGTGCTGAGGATCGAACCCGGGCCGCAGGCATGCCAGGCGAGCGCGCTACCGCTTGAGCCACATCCCCAGCCCCTCTTTTCAGTTTTAAAGAACATTTTTGATGTGTTGTTAGGTATTTGCTGTTGTTATTTTGCTGTTTGCAGATATCTTTCTGTTGTTTTGTGAGTTCCATCATTTTTGTTGAATAGCCTTCTGATTTGCTGTTATTGTCTTCGAAAGTATTATATAATAATTTTCTCTTGCTTTTTAATGATTTTCTTTTTGTCTTTACATTTTAGCAATTTTACTGTGATGTCTAATGAGATTTTCTTTGTATTCATCTAGTTGGGATTTGCCATCCTTCTAACATCTGAAACTTGATATCTCATAAGATAATTGAAAAATTCCTTTCAAATACTGCTTTTCTCATTCCTTCTTTTTTCCTTTTCTTGGAATTCAACCATAGATATGCTTAACCTTTTATATAACATATAGTTCTTAATATCTTTTTCCCTCCATGCTTCAGGCTGGGTATATTCTTTTGAACTCTTTCAGGAAACTAATTCTCTTTTGAGTTGTCTGATCTGTTGTTAAACTCCTGTTTTTAGATCTTTATTTCAATTACTGACATTTTAAGTTTGGGAGTTTTAAAAAATATATATATTTGTAGATGGACATAATAACTATTTATTATGTGGGGTGCTGAGGATCGAACCCAGTGCCTCACAAGTGCCAGGCAAGTACTCTACCCTGGGTGACAACCCTAGCCCAAGTTTGGGAGTTTCTAACTGATCATTTTTTAGAGTTTCAAGTTCTAGTCTATTATCTCTCTTATCACTTAAATTTTTGAACTCATTAAGTAATGGTTATTTAAAAGTCTATGTCTATTAACCCCAATATCTGTATTTCCTATGGATTACTTTCTGTTTTCTTCTCTCTTTTTAAAAAATTTTATTTCCCATAAATTCTTGGCTTTTTTTTTCTCTATGTGCCCAGTTATTTTTTACTGATTCAAATCTGGGCTTTCATCTTTGTGAGGGTTTTTATCTATTTCTAGTTACCCCATAATCTAAGAAGTTTTACACAAACCTTATTTAAGCATTACATCATTTTCATCACATATTATGAAATATGTGATAAAAAACCCCATACTTCTTATTAGGGATCCTAATACTTCTTATTATCTTATTAAAATTATGTTTTTCATACATAAGTAATGGATATAATGATCTCTACTTCATGGGTTAAATAAGGGTTGTACAAATAATGCATATGAGATATCTAATATACTGACTAGAAGATATCAAGCATTTATAAATTGATAATTTTGTGTGTATTGTTATGGATTGGATGAGTATCCTCTAAATGTTTACGTATTGAGGGCTTGATTCCCAGGATGGCACTATTGGGAGGTGAGGTAGAGACTAGTGGAAGGTCCTAGGTCATTAGAGGCTTGTTCTCAAAGGGGACTGTGGGACCCAGGCCATTCATGGCTCTTGAGGTAAGCAATTTGCTCTGACCTTATTTCCAACATCATATGCAACTTCACCAGTGTCCAAAGTAATACCCTCTCCCTCTCCTCTCACTGATCTTGGAGGATTGGAACTTACAAAACTATAAACCAAACTAAACCCTTTCTCTTTATAAATTGCTTCAGGTATTTTGTTATAGTAACAGAAAGGTAACTAATACACTCACTTTAAAAAGTTAGTATTTCATAATATGTGATGAAAATAATGTAATGCTTAAAGTAATAAGGTGATTGTTTATGTAAAACTTCTTAGATTATAAAGTACTAGAGAAATTTTAAAAATGGTTTTGAAGTATATTGATTAGTTTAATGTGCTAGGCACTGTTGTAAATGCTTACCTGCATTATATCATTCTATATTTACAATAATCAAATGCAGATGGAACATTTAATATCCTTATTGTACAAATAAGGCTGAGAAAGAATCCATGGCTTGACCATGCTTAGTGGGCAGGCAGAGAAGCCAGCATTCAAATCCAATTCTTACCAACTCCAGAGATACAGTTATCAACTCCCCTCCCATCTAATCTCACTAAACAACCCTTCTCTTTCCCAATAAAGGAAAAAAGATGTCCATTTTGCAGACTCTTACACAGGGTCTGGAACCAAGTGTGGACTCAGTATGTATTTATTGACTTATTGACATACACAACATACCAGTAAAATCTGCTGACATAGTAGGAAGAGAATGAATGAAAGTCCAGAATCCAACTATGTAAGTGAAAAGTAATTAGGATGGATTAATACAAACTGAGAGAGAGAGAACAAGTTATGAATTTAATCATAAACAGAGGTTTGACTATGATCTAGAAAGCAGCTCTCAGGGCCATCTGGAGCCCCAAAATTATCTCCAAAGGTGTCAGTTGCCCAGGTCTATGTTGCACTTTTGCTTGTACTTACATGTGAGTCATTTTGCTCAAATTGTAGAAGGAATGTGATTCCAGCCGCTGCAGAGTTCCATCTATAGATAAGTAGCTGAACATCACAAAAATATAAGACAAAGTAGGAAGTTAGCTGGGCTGTGAACTCTAAACGTACCGTTTTTGACATAACTTCTTTGTTAGGGGCTTCCCACATCATGCAACATACACAACCCACATGTGTTCTACCAAATTATGCTAAAATTAATAACTCCTTACTTCCAGGTCCCATGATACCTAAGCTTTCCCAGAACATTAAGTCCAATTCATCTCACATCTCATCCAACTATTACTTCCTTTGGAAGCTTACTCCCGCCTTCCTGACCAGGTTAAATTCCCCATGCATGGCCTCATCGTACCATAAAATATCTCCCTTCACTAATTATCACAGTTTAACTTTCTTATTGTTTGGTTGATATTTGATTTATGTTATCTTATTAGACTATATTCTCTGAAATGAAGAATTGTGTCTGGTTTTGATCATTGAATCTTAAATGCATCTCTTAGTTCTTGACATGTAGTAGATTCTCAATAAGTATGTTAAGTCAATGAATGAATGAGTTACTCTAAGTAGAAAAAAAAAAGACTTAGAATAAGAATCTTTGTGTGTGTGTGTGTGTGTGTGCATGCCAGGGATTGAACTCAGGAGCCCTTAACCACTGAGCCATATCCCCAGCCCTTTTTTGTATTTTATTTAGAGACAGGGTCTCATAGAGTTGCTTAGCACCTCACTTTTGCTGAGGCTGGCTTTGAACTCACAATCCTCCTGCCTCAGCCTTCTGAGCCACTGGAATCACAGGTGTGCACCACCGCCCTCGGCAGAATAAGAATCATTTTTATTAAAGCACTTAATAGCATGAGATTAGAAGTATAGTATCCAAGAGGATGAAAAGAAAAACATAATGCTTAGTGGAACATTCCATAGGGTGTTGACTATACATTCTCTCAAGACCTCTATTCCTGATTTTGAATGAGGTAGAAAATTCAAGATTTGGCTTGAACTTTATAAGCAGAAGATGACTCAAATAAAAGTTTTAAGTACTGAAAGAAAAGAAAAGAGAAACTCCTAAATAGGACTTGACAGGAATATGTAAGGAATTATGTTTCAAATAGTGTTCTCAAATTCCATCTTATAATGAGAATGACCAATACAGACAAATTCAATGACCATTTTCTATGGAGAGGCTTTTCTCTGACATTTGAGAAAATTAATGATTAACAGATGGTGTCCAGTCGTAACCATGGCAGAGATTCTCAACCCATACACACACTTGAACTACCTGCAGGGCTTTTAAAACACACAGATGTTCAAGACCTGGCCCAGGATAATTAAATCAGTTTATGAGGAATGGATCAAGCACTTTTATTTTTCAAAAGCATCCGGATGGTTATAATGTGCAGGCAAAGTTGAGACTCACTGGCCTATAACTGGAGTTGAATCTTTCAGTAAAATATTTTCACTGACACAATGTTATAAGAGGAATGCTCATTGTGGCATGCTGAGCTTTTTATCCTGGTTATTGTGAGGATTCTAATGGCCCTGTGCTTTTTGTTTTGAATGACCTATTCTCTAAACAATTATTCTTTGGTTGATCAGGTCTCCCAACCCTTTGTCCTTTGTGGATAGCAGCATTATATAAATTATTTTGATCCAAATATTGTTTATTAAACAGAGGAAACAATGGAATCTTTTAAGCAGATTGATTTATTGTTTAGGGACTGCAGGGATTTATCATGCATGAATGTGAGCCATCTAAAAGAGCAAGATTCAACTTGAAGACTGACAAGTTGCTTCCCTAAGTTTTCATCCAATGCATTACACCATATCTTCTACTGAATTTCTTAGTTAAGAAGTGCAAAACCTTTCTCAATATTTTAGAGGGTTAATCCTTCAGTTCATATCATCCAACTGAAGTTTTAGTTTCTCCAACCTACACCTCCTTAAAGGCAGTTATAACTTGGTTGTGAAGAAAACACACAGGAGGTACTTTTCAGTGGGGCAAAAGTATGATTCCCTGCTCCTATTATTATTATTCCATTTTTCTAACTAGAAAAAAATCAGATCCACCTCTTCTTCAAATTTCTTAGCATATAAATCTTACACGATGACTATAATAACTATATTATTGATTGTCCAAATTAGAAAAAAAATTTGCACCATTAATATTTATGCCAGAATAATGGGTGGGAATTTGTACTGTACCAGGCACACCTAGAGTCACCCTGGTAACCTCCCTCTCTGCCCTGAGCTATACTGTATCTTTATCATTGATGCATGTGTATTTCCTATCATTCAACAAAAATCTATGGAACATATACTATATTTAGACATTGACAAACAAACTTATTCTGTAGCCTCAAGGAAATCATAGTAGTTATAAATGAAAGCAAGTAAATGGGATTAACGTGCAAGGTGCTTGGTGCTCCGAAGTGGTATAGGGAACACAATCCAGTGGCCACTCTATTCAAGGCCCCGCTGGAAGAAGCCTCAGTGAGGCCTTTGAATCTTCCTGGATGTTCTCTTCATCTCAGTCTTCCTTTTATTGCCCATTTTTTTGGCTTCAAACTATATCTTCAAATTTATAACTCTGCCAGCTCCATCTTAGGTGAACTTTTAATAATTTTTAGAAAAGATGGAAACCCCATCCGACACTATGACTCTAGTGTTAACAGTGCAGAAGGAAATCATCTTCCTGTAGAAAGTCAGTCCTTCTCTTTGGATCCCATTCCCTCCTCAAGGACCATATGCTCTTAAAATTGTTCTCCTTCATCTTCTCCCTCTGTTATACCTTTCACTGGTCTCAGTTACCTCTGCCTGTTCATGACTTTCAAGTCTCAATCTGTGCTCACATCTCTGCTCTGAAGGCTCCCTATGTCTACAACTTCTGAAGCTCCCTAATCTACTTTTTATTCCCCCCACATACATTATTATTTTCTAACTAAGTACATAATTTACTTGTGTTTTTGGTTTCATTGTCTGGGTCCTCCTATTTGAACATCAGCTTCATGGGAGCATAGATCTTTCTTCACTTGTTCTCTGCTGTCTCCCTAGTTCTTAGAATAGCGATTGGCACAAAGGAGTGGTCAAATAAGTACTTGTTGAATGACTAAAACTTTTGTAGATGATGTCTATGTCATAAAGTCATCAGAATATCCTTGCACTGACAAAAAGAAGGGAGATGAGAGAGGACCACCAAGGAAATCAAAAAAGGCAAGGATTTGAACAAGGAAAGGCTGTTTAACAACATGAAAGCTTGCAGAGATGTTCAGTGAGAATGGTCTCTCAACCTCAGCAATGTTGACTTTTGACCCAGGTAGATTTTACTGTGCATGCTGTCCTGTGCAAGGCACAATGCTTAACAGTGTCCTTCCCCTCGACCCATTAGCTGCCATAGCTGCAGTTTTTCAGTTTTGACAAGCAAAAATGTCGAATGTCAAAATTGCCTCTGGGTGAAAACCACTGCCATGACACAATAATTAATAAACGTTCATACAATGAATAGATTTAGCCAGAAACTGTAACTGTGCAGGTTGCTCCTGGTGGTGTTATTTGGTGTGCCTGAATTACCTAGATTGCCTATCAGAACCAATGAAGTGAAATGAAGACCTGACTCGTTTCATACACAGGTATGCTATCTGTCAACCCAATCCAGAACTCTGTGTGTGTGTGTGTGTGTGTGTGTGTGTGTGTGTGTGTGTTATGCTGGGGATTGAATCCAGGGCCTTATGCATGCAAGGCAAGCATTCTACCAACTGAGCTATATCCCCAGCCCCTAGAACTTCTTTTTCTCCTCACTCTTGAGTGTACAGCAATTCAGTTTTCAATGTTTAAAATAATTTTTTAATTCTATTCTTTTTGTTTTAAGTGAGAGAAGTCTGAAAACAATGGCCAAATTCTTGACCATATACAAACGTTTGTATTAGTGGGGAAAAGTGAATCAATTGGCTAGATGAGATGCATAAATATGTTTATGGGAGAGATTCCCAGCCAAAGTTTGGGTACATCACAAAATATGTTAAAACATATCAAGAATGATCAACTTCTTGTTGGGGACAGTAGCGCATACGTGTAATATCACTGACTCAGGAGATTGAGGCAGGAAAATCACTTGTTCAAGGTCAGTCTCAGAAATTTAGCAAAACCCTGTCTCAAATAATAAAAAGAGCTGGGGATGTGACTCAGTGGTATAGTGTCCTGGGTTCAATCCCCATGACCACAAAACAAACAAACAAACAAAAACAAATAAGAAAATTCTCAAGATCAAATCAATTTAAATTTGCTTTAGGTTTAAAAATTTATCTAGGATTTAAGATGTAGGGATGTAGCAAAATCAAACCGACATCATGTTTTCAGATATATTAAAAATAAAGATACCATTGAGTCATGCAAGTGTAACAAGTATTTTCCTTGACAGAACATATTTAGACAATCACATGTCACAATTTCCAACTTTTCTTTATATTAAAAAATGACTTACATCCTGGAAATATTGGGCAGATTTGAAAATGCAAGACTGGGAATGGTTTTCAGACGAGTCTCTGTGAGCTTCCTATGAAAACAACAGTTATGAGTTAGAATTGTTACTATTGCTCCTCTATAATAATGCTCTTAATTGTAAAAAACAAAACAAAACAAACAAAAAAACCCCTCATGATTAGAAGTACAACAGTTCTTACAACACATATTTCATCTTACATAATCAACAAAATAGTATTAAATTAAAAACATAAATTTTTTTCCCCAGTAGTACAAGAAGAGTTGAGAGAGATTTGGATACAGAAAATAAATGTTCAAATTTCATCAATGGATCAATAATAAACTAGTATCCTCTGATACCACATTCTACTGGTTAATTGAAGGCCAGCATAATATATTCATCAGTATATTGGAACTACTGAGTTTCATATCATGTATTTGTCTATAGAAATGACTTGGCATGCCATCAGTATACATATTATGTACATATTTAAAGGAATTAAACGTGTTTATTTTATCTTAAAGTTTAAAAATAGTGATATGGTTATGATGGTTTTGCCCAAGCAAAGGTGTCTAGCCATTACCTTGATCTTACTGTCTACTTGCTACCATTGAGAAGTAACAAGGAGCTAATTCTTCCTCAGAGTCTTAAGACATTTTTGTTGGATATGCAACTTAAAGGTGTGGCTTTCCCTCCAGTTTGCTTTGTTAAAAATATCCTTCAGAAGGCTGAAGCTGTTTTCTTTATAAGAAACCATCTTCATGCAATCCAGGGTGCCTCTCCACCTAGATGTTCCATTTGTTAAATTTCCCCTTTCTCTAGAGTTGACTTGAATAGAATGCATATGGACAAAGGTGTGCCTCATGTCCTAACTCACTTGGCAAAAAAGACAATGCCTCACACACTACACATTTTTCTCCATGGATCTCTCTTTGCCATTTAAATACTGGTATTCACACACCATTTATTTAGTACTTTTGATAGCTAGGTATTATGTCTTTTTCCCTTCTGACTGTAGGATTATTTCTCAATAATTTATTTCCTTGATCTGTTTTCTTTGGACTACTCACTTCTGCAGTGCCTAAAATGTATCTGTAACTTGCCTACAAAATATCAGGAGGCTGAATTAGTTTTTAAAAGGACTATTAATATATGTGCATGGGAGGGTGATATGAACAGTAGAAAGGCAAATTTTCAGCTCTTTGCGACGCCAAGTGTTTCACCATGAAACCCAGTGTTGCCTTATCATGATTTCCGAAATGCATGTCCCTAAGTTACCTGTCCTCCCTCGAAGTCTCTCACCTACATTCCCTTAATTGGTTTGATTAAGGGCTTATTGATACCGATCCAGGATTCTTAAATTAAAAAGATATGGGAAGAACAAGTAATTCTACTAAAATCTCTGTGTAAAATTGGGGCATGCCAAAGGAAAACAAAGGATAAGGTATGCACCTGTTAGGTATCACCCCCAAAGACTGTTTCTTAAACTGAAAGATAGTCATTTAAAGCTGTCCTAAGGCAAAATGGTTTAAGACTGCGCACAGTGCTTGTGGGTAATGGGGGCCTAAACTGTACCATTCACTGACTGAAAATTGAGGGGTGCAGCCTGTGTTCACAAGTAAATAATATACATGGAATTAAATTGGAAATTAAAACAAAATTGCAGTGTTTTCCAAGAGGTCTGACATGGAACAAAAATAGTATATAAATGCAACTTAACGGACTTTGAGTTAAAGTTTCAAACAATGTTTATTTTCTTTCCCAACGTATGAGTTTCTGAAATATTTGAATCCTGTTTCTTGAAGTCTCTTTCCTTTACACCCCAAACATACACACTTTAAGTTAGAACAAAATATTCTTTCCAGCCAGATTTCTCACCATAAAAAGCACATAAACCATGAAGAATTATGTATCTAAGAGCAGTTGTCTTAGTAATAATGTTATATACACAATAAATCTTCAAAAATAAAGGAAGAGATGTCAGCCATTTTAGCCTAAAATGAAAGTAAATTATCTGACTGTTGGATGAACTTAATATTGTGATCATTATAGCATTGCCTGGGATGGAAGACTGATTTCAATAATGTTAAATGAATTATTGCAATGACACAGAATCATATAAATTCAAACTCAATTACGATTTAAAAAATTTATACATTTCGTCTTGGTGTATCCATAGTAACACTACATAATCTAGAAGAATATCCATAGTTAAGTTTTCAATTTTTTTTTTTTTTTTACTTTTGGTATCAATTGTTTCCCCTCTTTTCATCACAGATTACCTTAAGCTTTCCTTTCCTTTCTTTCCTGGATTTTAAAATGATTTTTCTGATTTTCCTTATGAAAGCATTTAGAAAGCACTTTCTTCCAAGCCATCTATTGCTCTTCAAATAAAGAACAAGAATGATCGGTGAGGATTGGCATCTAGTGAATTAACTAATGAAGACAGCATCTTTAGGGAGCTTTTGTTCTATTTCTTTTTTCTCAATAGTTTTACTGCAAGATGAGAGATGAGGAGAATAAATTATTGTAAAAAGTGGATGCCTCTCTAGCCCCAGCTGACCCTGGATACATGAGCAATAACCCATCAGGAGGTTTTGTAGCTCTTCTGTTATGCAGCAGTCTTATAGCTAGAGCTAATTGAAGCATGTTTATCATCAATATGCTTTTCTTTGTCCCTTCTTGTAGGGAAAAGCAGCTGGATGTTCTTTCCATTGTCCACATTTTCTTTATTCAAAGAGTCTTAAGATGTTATGATTCCCCTTAGGTAGGAAGTCAGCCAAGAGCAGGTAGGGAGGGAAGGACATCAGATAGAGTGGTCATTGAGTCACAGGACTAGAGATAACAAAAACCTTTATCAAAGCATCCAACCATCAGGAACAATGGGAGCTGGTATGTCAAACCTCCCCAGTAGAATTAATTATAATCCCTTAAGGAAACAAGAACAAGGCACAGCTATTTTTTGTGCCCAGGTCGTCCCTCCCTACTCTCCTATTGTGAACAGGTCATTACCAAAAACCATGTCACAGTCACCCCTTGTGATTGAGTCATCTTGACCCTGGCAAAGAAAATTTGCTGAGGGCTATACAAAGGGCAATAAACCATTTAAAGAGATTAAAAAAAAAAAAAAAAAAACCACTAAGGGAAGCACAAAGGCACTCAAAACCCAAACTCTTTAAGAGCTACATTTGTTCTGTCAGGAGACAGTCCTCTCAGTGCCTATACTGTTTATTTATCTCACTTTTTGTATAAATCTCTGCTGGTCTCTACAACATTCACTGCTTTAAAAGCAGATGAGTGGCTGGGGCTATAGTTCAGTGGCAGAGCGCTTGCCCAGCACATGTGAAGCACTGGGTTTGATTCTCAGCAGAAACACATAAAAATAAATAAATGAAGTATTTTTTTTTTTAAAAAAAGCAGAAATAGGAAGTAAAACAAACAAAAAAATGAGTATGATTATTTGGCTGAATATTTTATGTTAATCTCAAAATACATTTTGAATAGTAGTGGAAAGGAGAAGGACGTAAATATTCTTCTGACAAAAATATTAGAAAAAGTTTCAAGATGTTTTACTATGGGTCAAAGAATTAGCATCAAAATAGTATTTATTTTATATTAGAGTATGCTAGATACTCTACATATGAGACTCTGTTTTTTATTTATCTTTGGTGATTCAATATAAAAATATGGCGATTAGTTTTTCTAAAATATAATTTAAAAACCTCAAAAAACTTATCTCCTTATATTAATGATTAAGGCATTACATATAACTGATTAGGAAAGAGTTCATAGCTATAGTTTGATATCCTAGGTGAATTCCGTATGTTTTGTGATCAGAGTAGTTTTAACATAGAGATATTTATTATAAATGAGAGTAAACAATAAACATAAGCTGACAATATAATTTAAAATTTTCTTGATTAACTTAACCAAAAATTATCATTAACAATGTGACTTAGAGTCAAATGTTTCCTTTGGACCTTATTTATGTGAAAATAAAAGAAAAATTATAATGAAAACCACATTTTAAGAGATTTTCAAAATGGAGTCACAAGGCCATCAAGGGTGAAGCACTTAAGCACTGGTTCAGCTGCTGCCTGGACTTTGAATGGTAATATCTAATTTTTCATCTCCAATTTTGTTGATTTAGGTCTTCTCTTTCTTTTAGTTACTTTGGTTAAGGCTTTATCAATCTTTTTTGTCTTTTCAAAGAACCAACTCTATTGTATGGATCTTTTGTATTTTTTTAAAATTTTCAATTTCATCTCTGATCTTAATTGTTTCCTATATTCTACTAATTTTGGAATTAGTTTGGTCTTCCTTTCCTACATAAATGCCAAGATATTTGGTCAAACATTTTTTTTCTGGATGTGTCTGTGAAGGTGTTTCTTACTGAGTTTAACATTTGAATTGGTGATTGGTTGTACAGCTTGGTGACTGTAGTGATAAAACTGTTTCTCATATGTCAAAATTGTGAAAAAGAATGGATTTTAAATATCCTCACGATGAAGAAATGATAGGTATTCGAGCTGATTTTAGATGTTAATTAGCAAGGCTTGATCATTGTAAAATATATACCAGTACCCAAACACCACATTGTATCCCTTAAATATACACAACCATTTGTTGTGTAGATTCAACTTGGCATGACTGTAGCCATCTTGAGTCATGGATCACCATGATTGCCCTTGCATAACCCTATATGTTTTTTTTCCTGCATAATTTCCCAGCAATCATAAACAGACAAAACTAGTGTGTGGTATGTGTTGCATCACAACTGGAACCCAGCTCCAGGGATGTACCTGAATTATCTTAAGATAAACCAGGTATGTTCCAGTCAGGACAAAGTCACATTCATCTTAATCCACAAATACACCTCTCTTCTCTTTCTGACTCAAATTGTGATCTTTTTGCTACCCAGGACCATACTGTGTCAGAAAGTTTCCCAATAAATTGTATTCTACAGTCTTAACATCTGTCCTTTCTTTTTTTGTTCTTACAGTACTTAGGATTAGTCTTCATACACTATGACTAGGTTGTTCTGGAACACTGGATTGCTCATAAACATTCAT